TCTCTCTCTCTCTCTCTCGTCCAATTAAAATAAATGAATGAATAAATAAGTTTTTTTAAAAAATCTGACAGAATCTAAATTTAAATATGTGTGTGTGTGTGTCTATATAATCTCCTTGATGTTGCTTGGATCTCTTAGAAATAGCACTTTGGGGTACCAGCAGAAGGCAGAATAGTTTCATCACTGGACTCATGTAGTAGACTGTGGTTTGAATCCTGGACCTGGCGACTTCAAACACACCAGGCACGTGTGTGCGTGCTCAAAATCCCGAGAGGAGAATGGAGAAGGGATTGCGGTGTGACCATTCCCCCCCGGAGGGTGATTTCTCGCTTTCTGTCTATCTCTCCAGAGAGCACATGAACCCTATAGTAAAAATCTCTCTTAAAAAAAATAAAGAAAAGAAATAGCACTTTGGGCAAGCAGGTAGTGGAGAGATTAAGGCAGCTGAATCCTGCATGGGCCAACTGTGCCTTTTGCGTTCTAAACCTCGCAGCTTGAAAAAACATGCTGGGCTTGGGGCCAGCAGGTGGTGTGGTGGTTAAGGGCGCTGGACTCCCATATGGCCAACTATGGTTCCAGTCCAACCTGGCGGCTTGCTTTCTTGCATGCGCTCTCTCTCTCTCCCTCCCTCCCTCTCTGGTCACACTGAAATAAATAAAGTTAAATAAAATAATTCTAAATAAAAAAGAAAGGAAGGAAGGAAGGAAGGAAAGAAGGAAAACGAAAAACATGTTGCACACATGTGCACGCATGGCCAAAATCCTGAGAGTTTCAAGAAAGGATTGCTATGGGGTCATCTCCCCAGGGGGTTTCTCGCTTTCTCTCTTCCTCTCTCTGACTCTCTCTGTTGAGCACACAGGCCCTAGAGCAAAATGGAAAGAAAAAAAAAAAAAGAAGAAAGAAATAGCACTTCAATGCACATAGAGTGTTGTTCACTAATCCCTTGAAGGACTAACATGCGTAAATATTCTAAGCTAATGCGTAATCACCAAGCATTAGCTGGTCTTTATAATGTTCACTCAAAACTATATTGTTCCGGGACCGGCAGATGGCGTGGTTAAGGATGCTGGACTCCCAAATGGCTGACCATGGTTCTAGTCCTGGACCTGGCAGCTTACTTTCTCATTTTCCCTCTCTCTCTGTCTCTCTCTGGTCAAATTAAAATAATAATACTAATAATCAATGGAATTAAATAATTCTTTTAAAAAATTGCATTGTTCGTAACACCTTCACATAGAACACTTCATTGACCATTGACCACTACCACCATCTTTATTACATAGTTACAACAATCTGTTATCCCCATTTCACAGATGGATTTACCTCAATTCATGATTTGTGACTCAAATGACATGACACCAAATCACTGGCACTTTCTACACCACATCGTGCCTCCTCATTCCACATCAAAAAGTTATAAAAGCTATCCCGTCTGCTTAATTTTCACAGGTTTATTGCCAATATTGTGAGAACAAGTGTCGACTATAACAAAGTCATGTGTGATTAGTACAATAAGGAAAGAAAACAAGCTCAGTAATTTTTTGGAGAGGCCTGGTACTATGTTCAGCATTCAGCCTATTCTTACATTGGCCTAATGTAGTTCTCCTGACAGCCCAACAGGTAGGTGCTGTTCTTACCACTTTATACCTCAGGAAACAAGCTCAGAGAGGCTTGGTAATTTGACTAAGGCCACATATTAAACAACATAGCAGTAATTTTTTATTTTAAAGAGAGATTTTTGCTACAAGGCATGTGCGCCTGTCAGAGAGACAAACAGAAAGTGAAATATCCCCCCTACAGGGGGGGTGGCCACACCACAATCCCTTCTCCTCCATTCTCCTCTTGGGATCTTGAGCACGCACGCACATACGCCCGCTGTGAGTTTAAGCCACCGAGTCAGGGACTCGAACCACAGCCAACTGTGTGGGAGGTCAGCAACGTAACCATTATGCCATCTGATGGTCCCATATAGCAGTGATTTTTAATATACCGCACTGACTTACATGATATGGACGGCCCTCGGGTCAACAACAAAGAAAAATAAAGTACTTTTTAGGTTAAAATGTCAAACGACTTTCTCCCACTTGTTGCTATCCTCATCCCAGCAGAGTACCTTTTCTCCCTCCTGATTTTCTCGGGTTTACTTATCTCTCCAGGCTTCACCATGCCCCGGAAAAATGGCTAGCCCTGAGTCTAAATTAATTCTGTCAAATAGTATGTATCAATTAAAAGAAATGTGAGGCCACCCAAACAATTAGGAAATGAAAAAAATGAACAACCTATCATGTTAATCATCTCTCTCTAAGGGCTTTAACCAATCCAGACAAGTCAGAGGAATAACAAAATGCAGAAAAGTAATCTCTTTACTATCCCAGAGTCTGCATCCACCATATTACTGTGAATATTACTGTGAATTATTGGGGATAGATAGCGTTAGCGTTAAAACACTGTGTGCCATCCCTCAGGTGTCACCTGCTAATGAGAAACTGATAGATAAGAAAAAATGTAAACATGACACTTTAAACAGGGAAGATTTAAACTAGGGAAGATTATTGAAGGACTTCCCAGAACAAAATTTAATTAGCTTACAAGTTAGGGTGTATTACAAGTCCCAAAGGGGGCTTCCTTATCTGAAGCAAACAGAGGAACTTTCTGTTAACACAAGTTGTTCTCATAATGGAAAGTGAATAGCTAAAAAGGCTTTTAATCAAAACTCTATGTTCACGGAATAAATAAGAAAAGCTAGGTCTATCTGAGCCAACCTAGAGGGGTCAGTGGAAAACCTGCTGGAGGACTAAGAACAAGGGCAGGAATAGATAAAAAAGGAAACAGGAAGAACAGAGCTAGAGAGAATGTGGGGAGGAGGGAGGAGGAGCACCGAGCAAAGAAAGCTGGAACCCAGGAAGTACTAGTACAGATGGGCAATTTCAACCCAGAAAAACAAGGAAACCAATGTCTAGAACCAGGTTTGCCAGAGCCTGCCCTATGGAAGGAGCCTCCTCCTCCTTCTACAGGCTAAAATTAAGCTAAAGGAAAGAAACTGGCCAAAACCAGAGAAAGCAGTTCATTTACAATATAGGGGATGGTCCTGCACAAGGGTCAGGAGAGTAATAACTGGTAAGAAATGGAGGGAACTTTTTAGTGTTTGCTAAATTGTACTCATCTTAAATGAGTGAATTGTATGGTGCATAAACTATATCTTAATACCTATAAATCTGTTATTTTTTAAAACGTGTTAAAATGGGTACTGGGTGATACACAATTTAACGTCTAAAGTCTGTAACAGAGAACCCCAGATTCCCTCACTCCGTGGATAAACTTTACTTGTGTTTGGGTGGGCACATCTCTGTTGGAATACCCCTGTCTGTAAAGACAGGAGTATTGAGAATACAGACGATGCAGGAGAGGAAAAGCTGGAAGCTTGGTCTTCAAAAAAGAGGTCTTCCCCTATTTTTGCCCCTGGAATTTATTTTATACACTGGCTTGGGGCCGGGGGAGAGCTTCTGTTTGAGGTCTACCTCAAAGTGGAATATGAGGTTTCTCTCGGGGGACGATCTGGAGCCAAAACCTACCTAATCAAAGAGAAAACGATCTGGGGTGGAAAAGTCAAGTCAGTTCTGGTGAAACCCCAGAAGGTTTATCATGAAGTGATCACACGAGTCTGATCTCAGCTACCCCCAAACTGGACTGTAGCGCCCTGTGTCACTTCCGACGGTTACTGGCGACCAAGACGGATGCTATGCCGTGATCCCAGAAATTTCTGGCGAGCTGCCCACTGACGCAAATTGGAAAGCCTTTCGGGGACCGACCTGGGTGACGCTAAGCGCCACGTCCAGCTCAGGGCTTCTCCTTCATCCTCCCAGCGTAGGGAAACGGACTGAGGAGGGCACAAGGCGAGCGGGAACGCCCGGTCACCAGCCTCCCTCCCCGAGCGTGAGCACGATTTCGGGAGCCAGCCCCCACCCCAGCGACCGCCCCTCCCCACCCGCCCTGGCCTCCGGCCGGGGCGCCTCGCCCCGCCCGGCCCCGGCCTCCCCGGGAGCAATAGGCTATCGATTCAGCTGCCTGTCGCTAGGAGCCCCGGGAGAGCGAGGCCTACACCGCCCGGCCGGAGCCCCGGCCTCGATTTCGCCACTTTCCCCACACTGGAGGGGGAGCCCGGGGGCAGCCAGACCCGGCCGGGAGGGAGGGAGGAGGGGCGGAGACCACCTGCAACAGCAGCTGTGGGGAAAAGGGGTGCCGGCGCCCGGCTCCCGCCAAGTCTCCCGGGGTCGCCCCCCACCCTGCCTCGCAAGTTGCACATTCGAGTTCAGGCCGGTGCCCCTTAGCCTGCGGAGCCCTGGCCACTCTGGAAACCATAATAAAAACAAGACGCAGGAGAGGCCACCCCGGGACCAAAGCAGATGGAGCTGGGCCCCTAGGAGCGACCGCCCGCCGGTCACCTCCCCTCCGCTGAGCCCATGAGCCCACGAGCCCCCGAGCCCCCGGGTCGCAGTCCTCGGCGCCTCGGCGTCCGGCCCTGTCACCGCCCGGCCCCCCGCCCCAAGGCCCCTTCTCCCTGACACCGGCGACAGGGGCTCCAGCTCCCCCTCGCCTCCGGCGCGCCTCAGCCTCCTCCCCTCCCAACCCCCCAATTGCCCCCCGCCCCTCCGCAA